AAAAGAAAAAGAAAAAGAAAAGAAGAAAAAGTAGTTGATTTTAGTTCCCTTTGGGTGTGAACACAATGAAGTCTACGTCAGTGCCTGGTTTAGTGACTGCTTAACCCACCCCACTCTCTGGAAGTGCTAGGGACAGAGCACTGATGGGCGGGGCCATGTGTCTGCTGTCTGGCCGTGCCCTCTCTTCTTTTCCATGGTTGTCTGTTACTAGATTCTAGCCCAGGTAGATAGAAAGTTGAAGCCTCAAGTGAAAGTTGCTTATAAAATATCAGATAAAGGAGAAGGCTCAAACTACGGACCAGAATTAATTGCTTAGCACTACATGTGTTCCTTCAAACTGGTTTTTAAAAAAGCAGCCATTGATCAAATCCAGCCATCTTCAGTTACTACCCTTCTTTTAATTTTAGCACAAGCTGTCTATTCAGAATCTTAAGATTCTGGGAAGTATATGCGGTATTTTAGCCTGGTTTTCTTATGGAGACAGGCACAGAGTAGAATTTCATCTCTAAATTTCCCCTGTGGGCTTTTGTCTCTTTAGGTGATTTCAATCCACACTGAAAGCTGGTGAAGAACTGGGGTTTCTCCAGACTCATCAGGTTGGATCCTGTTTGTTGAAGTGTCATGAAGTCAGCATAAAAGCTTGAAATCTGGACAGTGATAGACTAGAATCACAAGGTTAGCTAATAAGGGACAGAGTCTGAAAGGATGTAATTTCCAAAAATATGTTTCAAACAGTCCTATTAGCACAGTCTCATCAAATGACAAACATAGAAAACCAGGCTTCATTTGCTTGCCCACAGAAGGACGATACAGTTGTATTTAGGGCAAGCAAGGAACATAAAGAAATGTGTCTTCTCTGTTTATGTTCGTTATCATCCACAGAAAATTCAAAGTTCTAAAGATATAATCTTATTTTTCACATCATATTATTTCTCACACTATACTCTCTCTCTCTCTCTCTCTCTCTCACACACACACACACACACACACACACACACATGCACAAGACTCCTTTCAGATAAAATTTGCCTCATATTTGAGTTTTATTGGTGAGAAAGTGATGCTAAATCTTGCCAACCAGTTATAACAATAATCAACCTGTGGAATCATGGAGAGGATTTTTCTGTCTGATATTCTGACTGTCTGAAAGGTCTTGTCTGTAGTTATTCTTTTCTTAAGGTAGAATGAATTACTTAAGGTATTCTGAAAGGAGACACAGCTGTAGAAAGGAACTCCTGAATAGTTACCTGTGTCACTGGGGCATCTGCAGCAGGTGGCAGGGTTGGAGGTGGCTCTAGAGAGGAAAGTGCCCCTGGGGCAGCCTTGGGCTCCAAGGCCAACTCTGAGGACTCTGAGGACTTTTCTGGACTTTCATCTTCTGATGATTCTATTTGCACACGTTCCATCTCTTCCACTTCTGTTATTTCCTCTCCTTCTTCTCTTTCTCCTCCTCCTCCTCCTTCTCCTTCTTCATCTTCATCTTCTAGTAAGGTAAGGTGTTTTTAAACTTGTTAGAGCCACCATTTCTAAAAGTCAACAACATTACCTGTGGCTGAGGGTAAGTCAGGGCTGAGGAGGTCTTCTCCAACAGCCACTTGGCAGTGGTCCAAGTGTGCCATGTGTGGGCCTTGGGTTTCTAGTAAGTATGGGCAGGAGAAGGATGAACCATCACAATTCTCTTTTCCAGTTCAAAGTCCCAGCCTCACTTTGTACCCTCCAGAGCTGTTCACATTGTTATCGTATTCTGCCACATCTATAAGATTCTAGAGGATTGCAATTTTCACTTACTTATCATCTCAATCAAATTAAATGGAAATTCAACCTTCTTTCCTATCTCACAAAACACACTTGTTTAAGTTTCTTACCTCATTCGTTCAGTGACTACATCAACTTTTGCCACCATTATGCTGTTCCTCTTTTCCTGATCCCCTGACATTAATATTCCCCCAGGTGACATTAATGACAGTCAACATTAATTGAATTTTTAAATAGACCCATTATGAAGATTTTCCTGTAAAATGATACCCATGGATGCTGATTCAATCTCATAGCATGATTAGTGATCTAGCCAAGTGGGGTTGTCAACTAGATGAGGTAGGATAAGTCAAGGTGACCAAAGTTTGAGTCAGGTCCAAGGTTATTTTTCTTTTCTTCAATTATTTTGTCAGGATAAATTTCAATGTGTGGAAATTTCTGGACTTTCATCTTCTCCTGATGACTCTATTAGTACACTTTCTCTTTTCTTTCTCCTGGGCCAAGTGTTCAGTATATGTTTCTATTTCATGGAATATAATGCAATCACACATGCCTAGGCTTATTTCTAGGTTTTGACTTATTCTATGACTTGTTACTATTCTTGTCCTTCAATATTTCATCAAATTGATATACTACCTTATCTAGCCCAGATATCTTCTAAGCTTTATTTTTCTCTTACTCTTAACCTTGTTCCTGATGACAATTTACACCACTGTGGCTGACACTTTGTGTAGAGTTGAAGTTGAGTTTACAACCAACCACCATCAATTATAAGCATTTGACAATCCAGAGTCAGATTCTTGATAATGGTATTAAAATAGGCACCGAAGTGTGCAAAACTCAATAAGTACTCTCTACAAACTAATCTTAAAATGAAATTGAGCTTCATATTGGATTATGAGTTTTGTAAAATTGTTAACATCCATTCTGGAGGTGATGCTGAATCCCCCCTTCCCTCCCACCAAACTCTTCTGCAGTTTTCCTGCACCTGAAATTTTGGCCAAATGACTAAGAACACAACAAACCTCTGTAAAAGTCAATTTCACGTATTATCTTTTCCTCTCTATTGAGGTTGACTGTGAAGTGGCTCATGTTCTCATAACCATGTTCTGTTTGCTCCATCTGAAATGCCTTTGATGCCTCTGAGATTCTGCAACAAAGACAGGTTGTCACCTTCTTCACTGTTTACAATTTGATAGCCTGGGGTAAAAACGACAACATGCATTTTCACATGAAATAAAAATTACTTACTTTTGTAACAGGGTTTTGGCATTCTGTGAAAGCAAACAAAAGATAGACTTACTTAGATTCTTTCCAACAGAGAGCAAGGAGAAGTTTTCCTTTTGCTGACCCTAAGAATCTTACAGTATAGTTGCTAAATGTCAGAAGTAACTGCTGCTTTATCAGATCATTTTTATACTTAAGGAATGCCAAACAGAGGAAGATTTTAATTGGTATAATGAAATGTATGAAATAATAAAATAATGAAAGTACAATGAGAACTAATGGAAACTCCCACCTTTTGCATTTGTCATGGTGACGAGACAGAGTCTTACCTGCAAAAACACCGCCATTTCTGGCTCATCCATGAATTGAATTCCTGACTCAACCAACTTTGATACATTCTCCAAATGACTGGAATACTTCTTGATGAGAGCACGGACATGTTCTAGTTTCTCCTCTTGGGTTCGGGTGATAGCTTGAGTCATTTCATTCTTCCTCTCCTCCAAGATTCCATATAGGTAATCAAACTTCTCACAAAGGTCTTGTTTCTGTTTTCTGCAGCATTCCTGTTAGTTGGGTTAGCTCAAATTAGAAAGTGCTTGTGAGAAAGTCTGTTTGGAGAAATCACCTAGATATTTTGAGAGACAAGAACAATATATATATATATATATATATATATATATATATTCTCTCTTGAGGTGTTCTTTAGGCTCTGATACCTACTGTAGCCCATTGTACTGACGCTTGAAAACATCATTTTATATTTACATAATTTAAAAATTGCCAGGCACAGTGTTGCATGCCTATAATCCCAGCTCTTGAAAGGTGGAGGCAAGAGGATCACTGTGAGTTTGAGGCCAGCCTAGGTTACCAACTGAGTTCAAGGACAGCCTGGACTATATTAGAGAGACCCTATCTCAAAGATAAAATTTTTAAAAACCATATTTGTTAAGGTGATCAATGATTTTTTTGGTTTTCTACTTGTTACAAATGGAGAGTTTCATATAAAGTCAAATAAATTTTGTTTTATATTTATTTGAGATATATAGGACAGAGGTAAAATTTTCCTTTGGAGTGGTGCATGTTTGTGTGTGGCAAAAATCTATGGCATGTCCTGATTTGTGCTTATTATCTCTCTGCCTCATCTATACTGCATTTTTCCTAGTGTCAGTCCCTTATATAGATTCTGTAGTTTCCCAAGGACCTCTGCACCTTGGATTTCCTGCTTTAAGCCAGCCCAGAAACTGAAGCCAAATCTATATTCTCAGAGTACAATTCTAATTATGTTCTTTCTATTATGACTCTCCATTGCATAAAGAGTAAGTTTTATGGGGCCGGGGAGATGGCTCAGTGGAATAAGCGCTTCCCTAGCAGGCGCAAGGGTCTGAGTTCAATCCCCGGTTCTGCCAAAAAAAAAAAAAAAAAAGAGTAAGTTTTAAACTTTATAACTGATTTTTAAGACCATCCATGATCTGGTTCCAGCTTTCCTTCATAATCAAACTTCTCATGCTTCTGTTTTCTGTAGCACATCTGTTAGTTGTTAGCTCATGTTAGAAGTGCTTATGAGAAAGTCTATTTGGACACATCACCTGGCGATTTTAGGAAACTCTGCTATTTATTTCTTATATTGTATTCCAGAAAAAAAATAAGCACTTGCTTTCTTTGTGCCTCCTTTCTCCTCTATCTATAATGTTCTCCAGGCCATACTCACCAACTCTAAGCAATGACATGATTGGAGGGTCATGGTGTCTTATTTTGTGAACTTAATTCTTTGCAAGATTCTGGTATTGATTTTGGTCATGAACCACATCAAATTTTCCCATAAAGCTCAATGTAAATAAGATTAATCTGTTTTGAATCACATGTATTTTTTAATTACAAAAGCATGAAACAAAAACATAGTATGGTACAGTATGAAAAGAGAAAATACTGACTTTACTTGAGGTGACTTCTGGCATGGAGGACAGGAAGATAGAAGGGAAAGAGGTTACTGTTGGGAGGGAGAATCCCCCTCCATGAGGACATCAGGGACTTCTTCAGGGTTTTCTTCTCTTCTTTGTCTCTTAGCTTCAGGGTCAGTTTTGGCGAAAAAATCTGTCGAATGTCACTTGTCCTTTCCTGTGCTGTGTAACCCTCCAGAAATGAAAGATCATGTTATTGTTTACCAGATTTAAGAGTCTGTTCATTGTAGTTATGCTGGGTTGGCATGTCTCAAAGAAATATGGGCACTCATTTCACTTTTTCATAATGCATTTTATCACATAACTGATAGCCTTCTTGCTGTCCTTTTCTTCTTCTGTGCAATGCTCTTTAACAAACATCTTTTGCTACCCACTCTGGAGTTCAGCACTTCTTTTGCTTCTACTTATGGTCTTCAACAAGCTTCTTTATGTTCACACGGTTGACATCAGTCCCATACTCTTGTCCATCATCATAGTTTCCTCCACCACCTGTGCATCTGATCCTTGAGTGTCACATTCAGTGACACATTCTGGCCATAACTTCCTCCAGGATATGTTTAAGATCTTGAATGTGATATTTTCCCAAGCTTTGTCAGTGAGGTTCATGCAGTAGAGGACACTGAAATGTTTCTTGTAGAACTTTTTCATAATTAAGGATGTTGCTTTCGTGAAACTGAAACACTTTGTGAAGAGTTCCTTTGTGTACAACTTCTTGAAGTTTCAGATTATTTGCTGGCCCATGGGCTGCACAAGAATTGTGTTGAGGTGAAAGAATATGATCTTAATGAGGTCATACACAGCATCCATAGTATCCATAAGGATGGAAGGTGTGCTGGGACATTGGGCATTATAAAAAGAAGGCACCTTTCAAGAATCTGGTTGTCAGAAAGAAATTTCTTAATGGAGAGTGTGAATACCCCATGAACTCATTCCATGAACAATGCCTTGTGATTAAGGCTTTTACACTGATCCTCCAAGTGACACGCATTCTGGCTTTACTGACATTCTGTTCCTTGAATACATGGGAGTTTGGGAATGTATACCAATAGCAGTTTAATCATTTTTGGTGGTTGTTTGGAGACAGGGTCTTCCTATGTATTTCAGGCTAGCCTTGAACTCACTAGAAGTCCTGTTGGGCCTCAAACTCATTTTGCCTCAGCCTTCTGAGTGCTGAGATTGCAGGTGTGTGCCACCACACCCAGTGCAGCGGCTTGATGTTCATATGTGCACTTGCATCTTCACCAGCAGAAGGCTTCCTGCCTTCATGGTCCTGGGCCACTCGGGGCCTTTTCCTCCTGTGTGATATAGGCACTGCTCAGCAGCTCCCAGAAAACCCTGTTTCATTGAAGTTGAACACTTGTTGAGTGAGGCATCCTTCTGGCTCTGAATTTCATGAATTCTTTCTTACACGCTTGTGCAGCAGCCTTGTCAGAACTGGAAGCCCCACCATCCACCATATCTTATCACACTGTGGATGCCACTCCTCTTGAGGAATTTATCAAATCACCCTCTAAGGGGTTTAAGTTCATCACTTGCTGCACTGATAGGGGTTTTCTTGCAGTCAATCACTGTGTAATTCCCTGCCTTTTCACCTCTTCCAGCACTTGTATCCTGTCCTTGGTTAATGCCATTATTGGTTTTGCCATAGAGCTCCTTTGATGGCATCTTCATTCTTCAAAATACTCAACATTGCCAACTTCACCGCTCTGTACTCTGAGGACAGATGAGTCACATGGTTATCACACTCATGCTCTCCTACAATTTCCTTCTTTGGTTCAATGATTATTTTCTTCAAAATTTGCTTCTTCCAATCCTCACTCGCAGTTTTTTACCTTCACCATTTTGCACATTCTTGTCACCCCCAAGGCTGCTCTGCACTTTCTTTTTGTCACCAGGGCTGCTCCGCACTTTCTTTGGAGCCACGCTGTAGATTAGATGATACTTTACAATACTCTATGTGCTAAAAAGCACACAAAATGCCTCAGAGCATGTGCGCACAGGTCTGTGTGCAACTGTGATCTTGAAGCCACCATCATGTGTCAGAGCGAGCAAGATGGCCATGTATGTGTGGGAAGATGGCTTGTATTTGTCACCCATTGTGGAGTTTGTGTACAAGAACAAAATGTTGCTGAGCACTTCTGCTTTCAAACTGAACTGTTCACAAACAGAAGTGGCCGTGAACCAAGGCAGTGCTGAACCACTTCTTCTATAAAGCTAATCTTCCTTTCTATGGCTGAATGCCATCTTTTAATCATCTAGAAACCAATTATAGTTAACATGTACGGTACATATCTGTATCCATCAGAAGTTCTATTTATCTCATACTGCCTCAGAAAGAAAATGCTGGGAGAAAGCCTATAATGGAAGTTTGACTTACATATTTACATTTCATGGGTGAAGTAACCTTAGTACATCCAGCTGCTATTATTCTGAGTTCATATTCAAATCATGATTAATTAATTTTCAAGTTGGCCTAGTCATTCCATGTTGGGATGTGTGCCAGTATCCTTAGAACTGAGGATATCTGGGTCCAGATATCTGGGTCCAGATTTAGAGATAAATCCAGCTAATTTATCTCTAACATCTCTAACCCCTGTCTGAACCTTGTCACATGTTCTCTCACTTTAGTAAACCTTTGTCTCTTTAATGTCATCTATTGTTTTTTTCCTTTACATGAATTTCTTAAATATCTAAACAATAATTTTCCTTTATGATAGAATCTGGGCCTGCGAAGGATACATCTATGGATTATAAAGATATTCTATAAATAGAAGAAACACATCCATCATTCCACTGCCTTCAAATTATAATTCATGAAGGAGATCCAATGGTTCAAACCATTGGACCACATTAAAATAGTACTACTGTCAACAATCCACTCATTTATTCATTCAACAGTTATTTTTTTTAACAAACAATTCATAAGCACTTAATTTGTTTCATGTGATATAACAGACTATAGATCCAAAAATGAATTTATGGAAATCCAAAATAAATTAAATAAAGTTTGTATTCTCAAGGTACTCATAGAGTTGTATTAAAAAAGCCTATAGGTCAATAATGTAACAGAATATAGGAAGCTGAATAACGGGAACATGTTAGAGATTGATAGCAGATTTTATAGAAACACAGCGATGGAAACTTAATTCAACCTTTCTGTGTGAGTGGGTGACACTCAAGGGGATCCAGCAGTGTTGGTGCAGAAGTTGGCCTTTAAAGGATGAATAGGAGGAAAAGAGGTAGTAGGAGCAGGCAAAAATCCATGAGTCTTAGAAGTTGTCAAACTGGACAAGGAACAATGCAAGACATGGACATTTCTGGGCTTACAAATCTCCAACAATTTCCAGTCTTTTAGTGTGAGATTTTTTTCTTTTCTTTATTTATTTGGTATAAGGTTTTGCTACACAGCTTGGACTCCTTCTGATCCTCCTGTCTCAGCCTCCCCAGTGCTGCAATTGCAGGCGTGCACCACCATGCCTGGTTTTAGTGGCTTGCTTTGCACAGGGCAGGCATGGCCTGCAGTACGGAGATGGGAACCCAGGTCCTTGTGCTTGCCAGGCAGGCAATTAGACTATGCAGCTATCTCTCCAGCCCTAGCTTGAGAT